TAGAGGGAGCAAGGGATCAAGAAGGGGGGTGATGGTGCTGGATGCTGATGTTGAACTGGCCAAGCTGGGAGAAAAGAAGAAAAGGAGGGGAGGGGAGAATCCAGCACGGCCGGCCTAAGCAGGCCAAGAATGCAATTGCCCCGGTGGTGGGCGCTGGGAGACCCCTGTGCTTGGACGAGGCAGGGTCGGGGGACACGAAGGATGAGCCCCGCGACCACTGGCACATTCTTACTGACAGGTTAGTGGCCTGCGCGCGACGTGGAGGTCCCGGGGCTACCAGGCCACCGCCTCCCCTCCCCCTCCCGGCTTCGGGTATCCGGGCGCGCCCGGTGGGCGCTGGCCCCTCTTGGTGCTCATCGCACCCCTCCTCCAGGACACCCCGCACCCCACTTCCCAGCTCCACTGAGCCCACCCCAGGCTTGACCCCTGGCCTTTTCTTTCTCTCCGCGCCCCCGCGGGCCCCTCCCTGTTTAGCAGGCGCAAAAAATTTCATCTCTGGCTTCTTTTCCAGGCACCCCTTCCCCACTTCCAGCCCCCGCGGGGGGTTTCTCTCGATCCCACCAGCCACAACCTGGGGGTCGAGCCCCGTTCTTTTGCGCGGGGTGGGGCGCATTACCCCGCGCTTGAGGCTCCTGGGCCTAGATGCTGCGCGAGGAAAGCGGGTATCAATCAGCGTCCTTGTCTACACAAATACATTTTTTTCGCCTTTTCTCGAATCTGAGCGAGACAGGAGACAAAAATGTGACATTAAAAAGACTCGATTCTTCCCTCTTTTTAAGCGCATTTCTCCATGGCGGAAATGCTGTTTTCCTTTGGTTTTACCGATCGGGGACGCGGAGTCCTGAAATGCCGGGAACCAAGAGGGGCGTTCAGGTCAGGGTCAACCTCGGCTGGGAGCCCGAGAGACGATGCAAACAGCACCGGTTGCCCCTACCAAGGGTGTTATTTTGAGAAAGCAAAACCAATGCAAAACAGCTGGGGATGCTTCCAGCACGCTTGTGGGACTCTAAAGGCTCCCAGCGACGGATTTTTGGTGGTGATTGCGAGGTTTTGCGCAGAGACCTCGTGCACCCCTGCAACATTACATTTTGCTAAATCTTGTAGGGTGAATGAATGCATTTTAGTCTTGGTAAATGCACAAATCTTTTGAAGCCGGTTGGCGAGGTTTTGCCTCCAGTATTTGCGAGAATTTATACATATAAACATACGTGTTTTTTACGCCAGGGAAAACTGCGGTTAGTTACAAAGCCCAAAAATACGGATGAAGAAGGATTCTAAATAAAACCTAACACGGATTCCCTTGTAATCCCCTCAAAGTGTTAGGCGCTAAGAAAACTAATCTTAGTGAAAGAAGTTTTCGAGTTAGAAGGAAAAATCAAATTGTCTACAACTGAGTTAGATTTCTGAAACACAGATGAAACGTATCCGTCTTTGAAGACCAAAATTTAGTATATTTCACTAACGCTGCTGCAGCTTTATTTTATGCTTACAGGATAAGTAAGAATTTGGCCCATTGTACATGACAGAGTGGAAGAGATCGCGCTCAAAAAGCGAGCCTTCCATGAAGGAGCAAAATCAGTTCATTTTGCTGAGACCTTGCATTTTTTTAGAAATAAAACCTTAACCATCAGAAAGCTGAGTAACGTGCATATTTCCAACAATGAAAGCCATTTTTCTAGGAAATTGGGTGAACGCAATATAGTTTTATAAAGTGTTTTTTAATGTAATCTGTGAATGTTTGTTTACCCCTCTTCGCAGGATATAATAATTTGAGGATTTCATATATTTGGTAGAGTGACTGCTTGACTGTTAGATACTTAGCGGTCATAGTTTTCCTGCGTAGTTCCTTTATCTAGTTGTTAATGGATAGAACTTTTTTTCTCAAAACAATGAGATGAAAAACTAGTGTAGATGAAAAGTAAGGAAAATTCAAGTTTAAAAAATCTATCCAAGACTTTCGAAGTTTGAATCAGTTTGACTTCTTTTCATTTCAAAATGTTACCCAGGATTTTTTGGGTTAAAAAAATAAAGAGGGCATTATTAGTATTGTTATCATTGTAAAAGCAATTCCTTATCATTGTCCAAAATACAGAGAGAGAGAAATGTAAAGAAAATCCAGGGCACCTGTAACCTCTTCACCCTGCAATTGTGCTGGTAAATATTACAGCGTGCGCTTTTGCAGATTTTGTTCTCACATAGGTATCTAAAGAATTTATATTTTTTTGTAGGGTCAGAGGTATACTTTCTAAAAATTAAAAACAGGATCAAATTCATTTTCCTCGGTTGCTTCCTAAATAGCTTTGAAGTATAAAATAATATTACATTTGGAGAGTTTTCTTTAAAGGATATACCATTAATTTGATTTTTCTAAAAGCAACTTCAAGTGAATAGCCTCAGTACATATATTTAAATCCCGAAAACAATAGAATTTTCTCTGATCTCACTATTGTAATGTACACATAATTATCATTTTGGTATATTTCATTGTTACAAAATATTCCTCTGCATATAGAAATTTTCATTTTGCTTAGAAATATAATTTTCAGAAGGAAATAGCAGCGTCAATAGGTATTTTAAGTAAAACTTTTTTGCTAAAACAACAAAGCAATGTTGAAAATGACAGTTAACATTAATACTTTAGATATTACAACAACAAAAAAACCCTTTAACAACCAATAAAAACCCCAATGTGTATTAGTATATAAGAGCTTTGGACACTGTTTTGACATTTAATATCTAAGCGAATTTTGAATTTTCTCTGATTTTGCTTCCCCATGTTGACTGTTTTGATCTATTGCACACGAGGTTAAATGCAAAGCAAAGGAAGTGTTAGTATACATTATTTCCTTTACTAAATAATAGCTGAGCTTTGTGTTTGGGTATTTTATCCATTTGTATAAGAGTTTGCTTTGGATCTATCAAGCTGTTGCTTTACCACCTATATTTTAAAATGCCGCTATGGTGGAAAAATTATATTTCAAAACAAAATGGAATTGTCATGTAATAACTAGATTTTCTATGTAGACATTTTACCTGTTTTATAACAATCTGCCACATCTATGAAATTGGTAATTAGTCTCATGTATTTAGGTTAAGTTATAGGGGAGTGGGAAATTGGTATTTTAAAACAAACTAGAATTTTCATATGTCATAATAAGCAGACTTTCTTTTGGGATATTTTATACATTTTCTGATGACAGTATGCTATAGATCTATGAACCTGCTGATTTACTACCTGTATTTGACTTAATTTCCAGTGTAGTAGGCAAATTTATTTCTTAACAAAGTCGTGTTTTCAGTTGTCAAGTAATAACTGGACTTCATATAGCTTATTTTACCCATTTTTATAACACTTGCCCACAAACCTAATAGCTGTTGTTATACCTCGTGTATTTAGCATAACTTCGAGTATGGTGGGAAAATTATATTTCTAAACAAAGTGGAATTATCACTTGTCTGAAAGACATGGAAAACAGCTGAGAAGGGCACCATAAAAACTAGGTAGAGATAACCGTGAAGAGGTAAAGACAAACATAGATCAACTAGTTCTCCAGGTGATGAAAATCACCCTTTAAAGAAAATACTGAAACTGTGAAGAAATCCTGGATTGTTAAAAAAAATTTTCAGACCAAGTAACCAGATGTCTCTGATTTTGGTAAGTGTGGTGTTTATAGATTGCACGCATTTTCTCCAAAATAACTAGCCCCTTTGCTTTGCTTTTCTACTAGTTGTCCATACTTACGCTACCTACTCCTTTAAAAAAAACACTTACCTTACCATATGTCTTTTCTCGACACCTAAATGCATATACTATCCTGCATTTTAGCTCCTAATCTTAGTGTGAAAAAGACTGTGGGTGAATAGATAATATGAGCTTATGTCTGTTAGAGATTTTTGGGCTGAAAGGGGAGGCTTTGCACTTCGCTGTGTTTCAGTCCAAACCTTTATAGATATATCAGCATGATGACTTTTTCATTCCATACTATTCTAACCTTTGCAGCAGAGACAGACAGACAAACACGCACACAATCCAGACATTGCCTATACTTTAGGAGCTAGGTCTCCGATCTGCTAGCTCCCCGTTTCTAGAAATATTAAGTCTAATCAGCAGTGCGTAATTTAAAGAAAAACAGAGCCCAGTGTTCCTAGGTATCAACAAGTCATTTCAAATGACTGTTTTTCTACTTAAGAGTTTTCAGGTTGGTAGCAACAGATAGTCTTAGTGCTTTTAAAGCTGTTTCACCTGGATCGCTTTTAAGCTAAATTCTCTCTGTGTAATTTCCAGTGTTTTCTCTTTTGAACACTGTAACTGTATTAGAGGCAATATTGAATTAAAACAAAAAACAAACAACACCTTTCCCCCCAATTCTCCATAGCCTGACCCTAGAACAAACACTTGCAATGGTCCTTCTCTTCTGAGCTTTGCTCCGTGTGCATGCATATTTTAATATTAGTGTGATTTTAATATGTATAGATCTTTCATTCTTTGTTTTGAAAGATAAGTGAATATTGCTTTCAGTGAACAGTTTTCAAGGTTGCAGGCTGCTCTTGGGAGGGAGATGGCATGTAGCACAATCAGCATTGCTGTGTGAACCGGAGCAGGCTGAAACCAGCACCGGCCAGTGTGGGTTACTGGGTTTGAGTTAGAGAGTAACGCTGGTAGGGTCACAAACCTTTGCCCTGGGTATTCTCCTCTTTAACATTTGTGTGAGTGATTTTTGCAGTCTAGAGGCTCACTTTAAAATTCATGGGTGTCTGGACAAAGGATAACTGTTATAAGTAGATGATAGAATTTAGAGCTAAACACTGTTTAAATAGGGTACAGTGCTATGCTGAAAGCAAAATGATACTTTATACAGTAAATGCATCATAATTCATTGGTGTGAAAGAAAGG